GTACGTACGTACGTACGTACGTACGTACTACGTACGTACGTACGTACGTACGTAACGTACGTACGTACGTACGTACGTACTACTACTACTACTACTACTACTCTCTCTCTCTCTCTCTCTCTCTCTCTCTCTCTCTCTCTCTCTCTCTCTCTCTCTCTCTCTCTCTCTCCAGAGATGGCCATAATGAATAAAGGAATTCATAGAGAACCTCCACACATCGAGAGATAAATTAGGAAACTGAAATCGCACAAAGTTTCAAGACCTTACATCACAAACCAGGAAACTAGTCCAGAAAGAGAGAGTGTGTATCAACCTGACTACCCTGCAGTATCAATAAAAACTTACTCTGTGATTTCTGGAGAATTCATCAACTTTATTAGGACTTCAACAGCAATAAGTGGATTGTTTTCCACAAGTTCCTGAAGAAACAAATATCAAAACAATGTACAACCATCTCAAATATCAAAACAAAACTCACAGATTGAAATATAGGGTCAAACTAATACAGCCAATCGGGAAAATACATACAGGTAATCTTCGAGGAGCCAATCCGCAGTGATAGACAAGCTTTGGATCACTCGCGAGCTCCAGTAGAACTTGCTGCATCCTAACATGTGTTAAGAACAAAAGAAAAGTAAAAAAGAAACAACAAAACCCTTTCCCAAAGGACACTCATGTAAGTTGGAAGAATGCACCACTACACTTCCATAGAAGAATATATCAAACAAACAATTTCTCTTTGGTGCAACTCATATTGGGTCAAATTACTGTCATTTATTTCATATTTTGGTCAGCCATGTTTAGTCCAAACAACATGAATGGTCATTTCTTTATATAGATGCAATGTTTACAACTGAAAGAAATGGTACAGTGATACTTGTCAAAAGATAATCAAAAGTTAGATGAACATAAAAAACTACCTGTTGTTGGGCTGGTGCAAGTGGCCCCTTCATAGCACTTGCCATCAAATCCCTCACTGCAGCTCCCTTGCTAGAGTCAGCACACATGGTGTGATCCCATAATAGGTCATGGGTATTATCCGGGTGGAGCCACATAAGCTGACATACATGTAAAGAAGAAATGAGTATAATATTCAAATCCAGAAGTTAATGGGTTGGCCAATGGCCAAGATAAGTTTTGTTGATAGGGTCACCGAGATGCCACCTTGACATCTCTGATATCCTTGTTTCTATTTCCCAACATATTTAACCAGTATTTGAAAATTCGGCCACCTAGCCGCCTAGGCTGACCGGCCAAAGTGGCCTAGGCATTGAGGCGCCTAGGTGCCTGAGGGACCACCTAGGCACCTGCTGCATCCACCCTGGCATCTAGGCAGTGCCCCCAGCCCTTGGCGAGAAGAGGAGGGGATGCCCTCCACCCCTCACCCCAAAAAACAAAAACAAAAATAAAAAATAAAAAACTTTTTCTTCATTTCTCTTTAAAGGGAGAAAAGGGTTTTGGAGGACATTGCAACCCCCCCAAACCAGTTTTCCTCTCCTTAGAGAGAGAATAAAATATTTACAAAAAAAAAACAAGAGATTCAAAAAATTTCTGCACTTTTTGATTTAGCAAAATCGAAAATTATTCAACCCCGAACCTTTTGTGGGTTGAACTTGTTATAAATAAAACTTTTGGAAACCAACAGTCACTGACTTGAGCCATGATCTATTTCATCTTAAAAGGTCAGTAAATTTAAATCTTTTGTAAAGGGTAGGTCTATTTGATTTATATGAGTGTTCAGTTTATTTTTTCTTTCCCCTTTTTTTTTTGCTTGTTTGTTTTTTGTCATTGCAATTTTTTCCAAGTTTATATCCGGATTTGGGGTCCATAATCAAGAGTGTCTTTGAGTTTGTGATCAATGGCATTTAGTTAAGATTGGGTAACACAATCATAATAAAATTTCATGAAACTTAATCCTAATGGATTTTATAGTTTATTGATTGATTATTTGGCCTTCTATTTGTCTCTTGACTGTAAAAGGGCAACTAATGTAATTTTATTTTCTTATTTGGTTTTTGTTCCATTGTTCTCGTATTTTTTGCTTCAAAATTATATTTGGCTTTGTTGCCCATAACAAAGAGTGAGTTTTTGTTTGTGTTTAATGGCATTTTATAAGATTGGGCAACCCAATCTTAGGAAAACGTCAATCAACTTTAATCCAAATGGATTTCTTTACGATTATTGCCCTTAAATTTCTCTTTTGATTGAGAAGAAATCTCTCAATATTGAGCATTTATTAATTATATCTAGGTTTGGTAACTTCAGTACATCAAATTTCAATGATTACTTTAGCTTTTTATCCTCAACTAATTGCTTGAGTTTTGCAAATCATTGAATACTTATTGTCTTTTTCTTTTTTGAATCTAATTCTTATTGTCTTCTTTAATCTTCATATCCGGCAATTCTATTTTCAATGAAGTTTCATTTTATTTTACAGGGATTGATTAGGTGAATATGCCTTCTTCTAGTTCTAACAAACAATCCAATCCGCGATGGAAATATGGCTCATACCCAAATCCCAATGGTAACAATAGTGTTAGAGGCAAATTTTGTAAAACGAAATACAAATGTCGGGATTAATAAATAGAAGAAACATGTAGCAGGTATTAGAGGGGATGTAGCTCCAAGTAATCAAGTCCCTGCAGATGTTAGAAAGGAGATGTGAGACCATTTGCAAAGGATAAAAATAAGAAGGATGCGACAAGGAAAAAACTTGATGATATCACTAGATCAGGAAGGGGACTCCATTAATAGGCCATTGGAGATTGGGCAGAGCATGCCTAAAACAAGTAGCCTAGGAATTTTAACTTGCCATCCCCTAATCCTGAGGTTGCAATTTCAAAAAGAAGGGGCAAACAACTATAGATAATTTTCTCCAAGTACAGAAATCAATATGTTGCAAGATAGATCTATCAAGGTGGCATCCCATTAAATGCCACTAGTTTGAAGAGCTTCCATATCATGATGGATGCAGTGGGGCAATATGTGCCAAGATTTGAAATCCCGGCACAATACCAACTCAAAGAGCCCCTGCTTAAAAAAGAGGTGCAACTCAGCACTAACTATGTCTTGTCAGGACTAACCATTTCAAGAGACAAAGGCATGTAAGGGGCAGATATGGGGTAACTATAATGACCAACACACGGACCAATGGAAGGCGCAGGAGTACTATGAACTTCCTATGTAACCTTGTCAAATAGAAAAAACTTAATGCTAAATTGTCTAATGGAGACAATGTTCATAAGGTCCATTGATGCATCAGAGAAGATGCGTGATGCACCTTTCATTCTTAACTTGCTAGAAAAATGCATCCAGAGGTGGAAGAGAGCCACGTAGTTCAGGTGATTACAGACATGGCTGCAGCCAACATGGCAAAGCCACACATCCTTTGGACACCATGCACAGCTCACAAAATTGACCTCATGCTTGAGGCAATAAGCAAGATGAAAGTCCTGGCCTCAACTAGAAAGCAAAAGCCCTCACGATATTCATATACAACACATATATGTTGCCCATGTTGAAGTTCACTGATAAAAAGGACTTGCTGAAGCCTGGAGTACCTAGATTTGCCGCCTCTTATTTGTGCTTGCGTTTTATTTGAGAACAAAACCTCAAGTTCAGGGCCATGTTTGTATCGGAAAAGTGGGTTCAAAGCAAGTGGCCAACACAACAAGTGGGAAGACGGTGGCTTATCTAGTTTTGGCACCTAAGTTTTGGAAAGTTGTTTGCACCCTCAAAACCTTTGAACCTTTAGTTAAGGTTTTGAGCCTTGTTGACAGTGAGAAGGAGCCAGCTACAGTCATATTTACAAGGCAATGGAGGTTGCCAAGGAAGAGATTAGGAAGAAATTTGAATATAATGAAAAGCACTCTTCTCCAATTTTGAAGACAGTTGATAAAAATGGAATACCCAATTAGAGAGGCCCCTTCACCTAGCAGGTATTATCTCAACCTAATTTATTTCTATGAAAATTCCCACATTGATACTAGATGATGCTTTACGCCCGAAATCAACTAGTGTTTAATGAGAGTTGTCCCTACTGTAGAAGAATGTGACCTAGTGTCAATGGAATTTGACAAGTATAGATTATCAATTGGGACACTTGGCATTAAATTGGCAATAAGTCAAAGGAAGACATTCTTTCTTGTTAAGTTTAAATTTTGTCTTTTCATGGTGAATTTGTGATTTGAGTACTTCGTTCTAGCCTTCTAGGTCTAACTTCTAACACCCAATTTGATGTCTAAATAAAGTTATCTAAAATAATACTTTGACTATATTTAGACATCACTCGCATAGTTAGTGCTGACCCAACACTATCAGTGAGATGGATGATACATGCGAGTGATGAGATGATCCTATATTCGATGGAGAGGAATTGACTTGGAGCCAAGTTTGTGAGGAAACAAGAAGTCAATTTAGCCCCATGAGAGCCACAAGATCTCAAACTCAAGGGTAGAGAATGAAGAGAGTGAGGGAAGAGGATGGGGAGAAGGCAGATTCACAGGAGAACGAGGAAGAGGAAGAATATGTGGAGGGAGACGACTTTGACGATGATGGCATGACATCATCATCGTCAAATGCATTTGGTGGTAGTGTTGGAGATCGAGATGTGGTTGGCAGTGATGATGAAACTCAATTGCCAATTTGAGTTCATCATAATTGATGCAACGTTAGACTATGGAATTTGACTGATGAGTTTTATTAGCTATGGAGGACTTGTAACTTACGATATGTGTCTTTCGGTTGCTAATAATGAATTGATAATAATGCAGAATGTTGATTTTGGGAAATGGGACATCTTTTGATTCTTTATAGTTTTATTTTTACTCTTTTTTTGAAGCCGATTTATTTTTAGACTCTTAGTAATCCAATTTCAAAGTCAAGGCAAATATAACATACATGCACATGTATCAGGGACTTGGATAATGTTTTATATTTGTATTTAAAATAAACAAATACTGTTTCTAAGCTTTCTTTGTGGGTTTTGGTTGGAAACCAAACCCCTCCAACAACATCCGTGGGGCCCAGACCCCCCAACATCCCTGGGCGGCCTAGGCAGCCTGGACCTCTAGCTCTCTAGGCGGACAAATCTGAATTTTCAAACACCGTATTTAACATAATGGTTATTTTTTAAAGGAAATAAAACTTAGTAATGAAGGTTCAGATTTTGTAGCTAGGAATGATAGCCTGCTAACCAAAAAACAGAACAATATACAACCAAAGAAGCTGGAATAGTAGTTCTTTTGACTAAAAAAAATACGTTGAAAGAAGCAAAATTTTAGGATTTTGGCCAAAAATTCATTTCTCAAATCCATAATAGAAGTTTAAACAAGAATTTTTCCCTATTTTTGGTCAAACTTCAGAGTAAATATCTTCCAATTTTGGCCAAATTCACCTATTTTTCTTCCATGAGCACTACCATTAGTATGGTGCTTGCCTCATTATCTTGTATTGGAAGCATAGGTGGAATGGGCCTAATCCATGGTGGTTCCAGCCCTTTCAGCGACAAATTGCTTAGAATTCCAGCTACTGCCCCACCCCTATCTCCAGCACCAATTCTTGTTTTCACTCCAGGAGGTGTGACATCAAGCCTGCAATTATTAAACGAAACCAATGACATAAAAAATATGGGACAGAATATAAACAGAATGCAAATGTAATAAGAATGATATAGCCCTACAATTCCTAGTTTGGATATTCAAACTACGTGTTATCTGCATTTCTCCATATCTCAAGCAAAGAAAAAATGAGATAAAAGTTATCAGCCACAAGGGATTATAAGCAAAAGAAACAAAATAATATAATCACTTGAAAGCATATAGTGGAGATGGATGTTCAGCTAGTCTCAGTACAACTAAAAAGATAATGGGAGGAAAATAGAAGAGATAAATATATGGAATAAAAACCTAATAGAACATAGGAAGTTAAACTTGGTGTTAAGGGGACTTGATGTGACTCAGGTGCCGCTTTCAAGAACAGGAATGACGAACAAGGAAAATAGACAAATCGACATCAACTATCAAAATTCTTAATTAAAAAAAAAAAAAAAATTCCAACTTATGCCAAAATGTTCACAAATGACAAAATCGAAAAAACATTCCATCAGGTCATCACTATCCAGGGAAATTATGGATAAAGATGGAGCGGCAGGGACCCACCAGAGAAAGACATGACCTAAATGCTGGTTTCCACATCTCGCCATCACTGCCCATCATTCCAATGGACACTGATGACCTGATGGCCAATTCTTTCTCCAAAATGCTTTGCATTGTTTTACACTTCCCTATGAAAAATACAAGGAAAAGGCTCTGATGATTATGATGACGACAATGACGGAGAATACAGGGAAATAGATGCCAACATGCTCAGATTTTGAGGCTTAAAATAAGCCGTTAGAGAAGGCCCTTACTCTGGCAAATCTACATCGTAACCAGAAGGGATGTCGGGGTCTGGTATTACATTATTCACAGCACTATCCTTAAAGGCAAATTTTTTGGGGTCTGCTAGCTTCTTGTCGTAGTAGTATAGCTTCTGCAGCTGTTCACACTGCATGTAGACCCGTTCATCCTTCAAAACAACAGAAGAATTTGTTAACAATCATAGACAGCTTGCTGTTTAAAAAAAACAAAAGGATAGAGTTCTATCCACCAAACAATTTATTTATTATATTCCTAAGAGAGATAAATTCTCAAAAAAAAATCCTGAAACGATATTATAAGAGCATGTATGTTTGTATGTTTGTATATTTGTATTCTCTCAAAAGCACAGAGTAACCAAAACTAGATACATTACAGAAACTCCTTCTAGTAAAACTGAAATAAAGAAGACTTCATGTAATTCTGAGATTTCCTCAAATATATCACCAACCAGTAGTTTCTTATTTTTAGATAACTTGTAAGCTATAATTTTTCAAAGTGTATCCAGTATTAAAAAGAATAAAGGTATATTCACCTGGTTCAGTGTTTTGAGACAAACCTCAAGGGTTCAGATTCTTCAGACCTTTGAACTCCCTCCACAAACTGATAATGTCTACCACTACATAACAGACAAATTATAGCTGGTGCGCTTCTAAATACATCTTCTTTCTTTTGATAAATGGTTATTTTGAATCTTAAAGTTCGAAAGTATACAACCATACATCCCTTCTCCATGCTTTTGTAGCATAGCTCGTAACGTATAATGAGGGCCCTGATTGCTTGCACACAATATCAACTAAAAGGGTTGCTGTCTTTATATCTCCTAATGAAAGGATAGTACAAGAGTAGAAAAAAAATAATGGATGTTACGAGAGTTAAGGCGCGGAAAATTGGCCATTGTGTGAGGTCAGTTGGGGAGTTGATAAACATATAAAAGTGCTTACCGAGGGTAAAAATGAAAATTTCCCAACTCTATTCTACAATAAGCATCTGAGTCCAGAGCAAATAGCTTGCTCATACAAGGAAAATATTTCATTGTTCCAAATAAATATGCAGGATTACCCTTCAGACAAAAAATATGCAATAACAGCAGAATTTCAGGCAAAACTCACAGGTGACGCAGGATCGAAACTTTTGATGAAATCCACAGCAGACTGTTTGAGAACCTGCAGTTTCAATGCCACATTCACGAACCAAAACAAGATTGCATGAGATATTACCTTTTTCAATACATAATATTGATCACAACATGCAAAATAAAGGATTTCAGTTACGACCCTCCAAACTGAGCCCATTGGCAAACCCATCCATGTGAGATAAGCTTTTAGCAGTTCAATAGTAATATGAAAGTTAACTCATCCATGCTAACTCAGACGGATAACTCATCCATGCTAACTCAGACGGAAAAGAGAATCAGTGACAACTTTAGAACCAACAGAAGTCTAAAAAGATCTCGAAATTTTGGGGACTGTAGCAATGGGAATGGTATCTGTGGATATTGATACTGACATGCACCACTATGTTAAAACTGAGGATGAGATCATGTCATATTTAGTAAGAATAGAAAATACAAATTTATGTTGCGGTCACCAGGTCCTTGGTATTACATATTAACAAAGCACATAGGGCTCCAAGAAAACATATCCACCACAGCAACACGCATCACAAAATTGAATTCAAAAGCATGCTTCCAAGCTAATGACTCGCTCAAATTTAAATAAAATGAACCCCAATATGTACCACGACACACCGATACGAATTGATCTTAAGGAACTGTCAATATCCCAAGGCTGAAATCAGAAACCAGAAACCAAAACTCTTTTTTATTAAGTATAGGGGACCAGAATTTTCAAATCCAGATCCACTGTAATCTTATTAATTAAAAAATGCAAACTACCTCTTTATTGTTGTTGGTGGTAATAGAAGTCAGTAGCTGATGTACAAATGCACGCTCCATTTTCTCAGAAGTATCATTACAGGCTGCCTGCAAATTTTCAAGCAAGAAGAATCATTTGCATGTCTGGCATGCATTCACTCCAGAAGAAGACGCAAGATTGACAGGAAGCAACATACATCGATGAACATCCCTTTCTTTTCTATTTATTGACAATTCATTTCATAGTAAATAGAAAATAAAAATATAAGTCATATTAGTTAAGTCAGTGTAAACAAGACATCATCAAATCAATGAAAATGATTGATTTAAAATAACTCGTACTTGATATATCCAGTTTTTAATAATTCAAAGCATCATACATTGTAAATGAAAGCATTGGGGCCTGAGATAAATAACCACAACAAACAACTTCAAGGGCCTGGTGGGCAATTCAACCGGAAAAAAAAAGGCCATGTATAGACGCTTCAAAAGGTGTGTTAGCCTCAACCAGGTCGGCGACATGATAGGCAAGTTCACCTCATATTTCTTCCATGGATCCAAGACACTAAGGGTGCGGTGTGCGGTTGATAACAGAAAAAATAGGGGAAAGTCCACGACTTTCCCTTGTACTGTAGCTTTCCTCAGTTTGGGAATAGTAAAACTGGGGAACTCGGAACTCACTTTTTCCCCTTTTCATTGTTCCCTGAAAGGAAGTTGCCACCCAAGGGTACCCCTAGGCTGCAACTTTATCGGAAAATAAACACACGCCCTGATCCCATTAAAATGCAATTGAGCCCTAACCCTCTCTCTCCATTCACCTATTGCTCTTTCTCGATTGCACTCCGAACTTCACTGCGAGTAGCAAAGGCTAGAGGAAATCTCTGACTTTCATTACCTGCCCACCTTCTCTCTCTCGTTCCAGGTCTGGGAACACATTTCTCTGTCTTTTTTTATTATTTTCTTTTAATACTTGGATATTTCTTTTTGAAAACCTCTTCATTCAGTAATACAAAGTATATTTGATATTATGTAAATTTTTCTCTAGATATATTTTCTGTGAAACTGGGTTCACTTTCTCTGAGTTTTTAAACGAAGGTTTTCATTGAGACCAAATATTGTAATATATCTATTCATTCCTTTTGTCATTATATAAAAACTTTGTTTGTTAGGGGCAGAGCAGTTAGTGAAAAGAGAGCGTCCTGTTAATCGGCCCAAAAAAAAAAAAGCGTGTCTTGTCACATAATTTGGGAATATTAATCTAACATTAAAGTAAAATTGTTTCTATTGTGAATCATTATCAATTTGGGTTTTGTGTGATCAAGTTGGTGATGCAGATAGGAATATTAAAACGCAATTATGTAATTACAAACTGGTTCAAATGAACCTATTAGTGTTCAATGTGTCCACCAATTTCATGCTAGATACATCATTAATGGCCTCCACCAAAACCCAAGTATAGCTAGTGAGCTAACAAACTCTTCCATTTGAGTTTTCAAAAAAAAAAAAAATCTATTTTGGCTTAAATGTACCTAGATGAGTTTAGTTTTCCATTTGTGCTTAAATCTCGCTCCTTTGAAAGAGCATTTCAGTCTGGTGAGCAACTTCACTCTAATATTTTAGCCTATGAATCCTTTGCTTTTATGAGTTGAGCACTTCTTCATTTGTACTGAACAACTGGATAGGTTGTGACGCAAGGATTTGTTTAATGAAATGCTCGAGAGAAAGTTGGTACGATGATCGAGGGTTGCAATTTGTCTGGGGATGCTAATGGCACTTTTAATTTTTAAGGGAGACAAGAGAGAGGTAATTGTCCAGATTTTGTTACCATGGCAAGTATGTTGCATGCTTGTAGTAAGGCTGCGTGTAGGAAATCAGGCCTGGCTATTCATTGTGTGATTGTTTTGAATGGTCTAGAGTGTGGCCTAGAGAGAGAATTATCTAGTGGTACTGGTCTTGTGTAGGGGGTATGTGAGCCATGACGGAGGTGTTAAAGCTCTGGTTCTCTTTGCCCAAATAATGTATCAGGCAAGGTTTCAAAAAACGCTAGGAGGCCCCTAGGCAGCCTGCCTGGCGCCCAGAACCTCGGGCGCCCCGTAATTTAAAAAAAAACAAAAAAAGCCTAGCCCTCCTGGGCGCCCGCCCAGGTACATCCGCCTGGGCGCCCGCCTAACCTGCCTAGGCACCCGCCTGGGTACATCGGCCCGTGTAGGGCCACTTGGGTCTAGGCGGGAGGATTTTTGGTCCAGGTCGCCTAAGCGCCAGGCGGACCGTTTTTTAAAACATTACTATCAGGGCATGAGACTTGATTCAGTCACACTTGTTATGGCCATATATTTATCTTTTTTGGTGTACTGGTGTCATTGCAATTTCAATTACTATTGGGTGTCTTCCACTTCGGTTACATAGATATAAAAGTAAATTCAATCGCAGCTGTACATTTTATAAGAACTGCATTAGATGGGTTGTAGCAAAAAAATCTTCTTTAAAATATGCATTTTGCACATCAAGTCAATAGAATACACAATGACGTTAAGACGAGAAGTTTCCGATTTTCCCCATGCCAAACAGGTGAAAATACTAGCACCACAGTTTATCAAATAGGGTTCCCAGCTTTCATGCTACCAATTTTTACTTTCATCCCAGATTCCAAGAAAGTTAACAGCAGGGATTTTCCGAGGGAAACTGCAGCAGAAGTTATCAAACGCATCCTAAGAAAGAAGGAAGAGAAGAAGTCTACAGGCACAACAAATAGGTGGCTTCAAAATGTTTTTAAGGTAAAATCCAGAATTATTAACTAGGCAAGAATCACATATTCACTGAGGTTATGCAAAGTTCACTTCGGCTAAATTCCCTATTTAATATGCACGTTACCTATTAGACTCAGAGAATACAAAGGGATTTTCGAAATAGGAGAAAGGTTCCACCCCGTCCAATAGAAGGATGTAACCCATATGTGTGTCTGTTGTGGGAAATTATGAATGAGAAACATGTGAAGAGTTTAAGTTTGTGTAGGATGGAAAACAGAAGTGACTCTTTCACATTGGACGGTCACAAAGCCATCGAAGAGATGATTGAGGATGTGTAGCACGCCTGAACGTTGCAGATACAGGAAAAGATACCAACTTAACTAAGACAGATGATGGAGAAAAGCTTTCAATGCTCGCTTCTTGAGGGCTCGGGCCTTCATATTTAACCTGCAATCCAAAACAAAGTGGTTTTCTAGAAACCTCAAAGGTACAAATGAAACCCAAAACTTAGGGAGTATTATGGTTTATGAACTACGAGACGGCCAGATGGGTGAGATGGCCATTCTACTAGTAGAATTTAGAATGATGTACATGGGAATGGTGATAGGAAGGAAACAATGATTTGGGAATTGGAAGAGTTGGCCAAATTTTCTGTTAAGCTTTGTGATGAGAAGCATGAGGCATCACGGATAAATGAATTTGGAGGAATAAAGGTCCTACATTAAGCTTGTGTTTCTTTTGCTCTCTGACAAATAACAATAAATTTTCTATGACCATTTGTAGGCATACAGCCATATGCATATGAGAATAGCTAATATTTGTCTTCTGTGTAGGGAGGTGGTAGAAACAGCATCTTTCATACTCAGTGTGTGCATGGGTGTGTGTTTGTCTTCTAACTAGAATTTATTGAAAAAAAAAATGTTAATCTTTTCTTTAAAAAAAAATTGTGTTACACACACATACACCTACTATACATACACGCATGTTTCAAAAACACATACACACAAATGCACATAGATATCCACATTAATATACATATAATACACTCAAACATAGATATCTTAGAGCAACAAAGTTGACCAAACCATGTTCCATCTAGCACTTCAAAATGCATAACAAAAACAGTGAAACCAAACAAGCACAGTTATCAAGAGCAGAAAACACCACCACCAGCTTGAAAAGGCAAGTGTAGTCTATCAATTGGTTAATACTAATGTTCTAAAGGTCATGCTACCATGAACTTGTATGTCAAGGATATTTTGGAAATACCGTTATGTATATCAAGTGCATACATCAGAATGTCATGAATAGCAGTATGATTATGTAAATAGGTTCTACACATAATCCTTTTGGAATAAGAACTCAGTTTTCTTAGTGATTTAGCAATTAAATAGTTGCAATTGATTTTTTATGTTAACAACAACTAAAATAATCAAAATGAAAGGTTCACAAGTCAGCATTCTAAAAGCATAATGGAGAAAGCCTAATCACTTACATCAATCAATATAGAAATAAAGGGGTTTGAAGGCGATTGCTGTGACGAATATATTTGATGCAGAATTGTGAAAGCAATCAACCGCTGATCGGCTGGAAATAGCTTTTTGTCAAACTGAAGACAAATGACGAGTGTGTAAATCCTCGTTCAATATCAACAATAATGAAGCAATTGATCTAAAACTAGTACATTTAAATCGACCACAATTTGAAACCCCGCCAATTTTATTCAATAGCAATTAAAAAGAGACATGAGAGGTGGACAGGAAACATTTAGGGATTGGATGAAATCATGTAGAATAAAATTTTCTTAGAATCATCATACAACTTGGAACATCAACCACAAATTAATCACCACTCAGGAAATATCCTACAGTAGAAACTCCATGATAATTTGTATATTTGAAATTAGGGCATCCAGCATTGAGATCCCAGAGAAAGAAATGATTAAAATATATTAGTGTCTTGTGATAATAATAGTTATGAACACTGAGATAGAAACAAAAGAAACAACATATGAATTAAGAATCATTAATTCTAGTCTCCATTCCAGCCGATATAAATTCCTCATTTCAAAGAGAAATTCCTCAATTAAGAGAGCGAGGGCAAAAAAAAAGGTAAAGAATCAAATGAATAAACTGTATATTTAAAAATACAAAGGAAGAATTGAAAATATTTTAATTTCATCTTTGATAAGAACCATATATTTAATCGCACAATACAAAGATTTGGATGGAAAGAAATGAAGCAGAACAAATTATAGGACCATTAGATGCTAGATTTCGATAATGTGAAATTACAATATGAATTCAAAACCACTGACAAATTCTCCATGCCCAGTCAAAATGATAAAGAGAACTAGAGGATTGTAAATAGCGTACGAGTAAAAAGAAGTCAACAGCTGAGTAAACAAGAAGCCATCCATTGAAAACTGTGAATCATGAAACCCAAAATGATCCTCACATTTCAAAAGTGTGTTGTTATAGTCTGGATTCAGAACAATTGACACTACTCGCCATTATCAGTGTCACTGGTAGAAAGAACTAGAGGATTCTTAAACACGTAAAGAGTTAAAATAAGAAACAAGTAGCCATGGAAAATCAACAATGAGAAAACAAGTAGCCATGTATCAAAATCAGTGATAAGACGCAAGTTTAAAAAATAAGTAATTTCTAGACTTTCTCCGTACAAGCCCTGACTCAATCCACAGTAGAGATAGAGAGAGAGAGAGAGACAGAGACAAGCCAAAATCATAAAGGACGAATAAGAAACCTAGTAAAACAATATCACTTCCTCGAACTTATGCAAAACCCTAACTTTTCATATCCATGGATATAGATATCACCAAAGCGAGAGAGAGAGAGAGAGAGAGAGAGAGAGAGAGAGATANAAGAAGAGAGAGA